GAAAAAGAAAGGGAAAGAGAAAAGAAAAGAGATAAAAGAAAGCAGCTGTCAAGTTCTTTAACCTGTGCCAACAGAATTACACAGGGGCTCAAAGATCAGCCACCTGCTGCTGCTCCCTCCAGTGCCTTACAGTCTTGTACTGCTTGGTGGGCTGGCTGGCCACTAGTCAGGGATTTAGGCTTCTGCCTGGTAAGCTTAGTCTCATCTTTTCTATATATCCAGCTCAGAGCCATCACTCAGGGTCAGGCTCAAACCTATCAACCTCAGACACTAAACAATAAAATCAGTATGCACAATTATTTACTCTGAGAATCGAAAAAAGTAAAGTGGACCAGTCAGCGCATGCCTGCCCTAGAGAATGCAACACATGAAGCCAAATATGCCATGCAAGCATAGAATCAGAATGGGAAGAAGAAGGTACACTTATATACATAAAGGCAACTAAAAGGAAACCCACTGGTTCTCTTAATACAGTACCCCCATTCACAGTTCTGCTTTCCAGTTTCAGTTATCCATGGACATCCGAGGACCAAACATATTAAACGGAAAATTCCAGAAAAAACCATAAGTTTGAAATTGCATGCCATTCTGAGTAGCATAATGAAATCTCTCGCCATTTTGCTCTGTTCCACCCAGGACATAAATCAACCCTTTGCCCAGCATCTGCATACTGTAGACGCTCCTCGCCCCTTAGTTACTTAGGAGCTGTCTCATTGATCAGATCAACTGTCACTGTATTGCAGTGCTTAAGTTCAAGTTGCCCTTATTCTACTTACGACTGGCCCCACAGCACAAGAGTTGTGATGCTGGCAACACGGATATGCCAAAGGCAAACCATAAAGTGATCCCTTATGAGAAAAGGTTAAAGTTCTCCAACTAGGAAAAGAAAAAAGACTGTTTGCTGAGGTGACTAAGATCTACTACTGTGCCTAATTAATAAATTAAGCTTTATTATAGGTATGTATAGATAGGAAACATCATACCATCTGTCTATTCTCTGTCTGTCTATCTATCTATGTATCTATCTAGGGTTTGGATCTATCTATCTATCTATCTATCTATCTATCTATCTATCTATCTATCTATCTGGAGTTTGGAACCATTTTCAGTTTCCAGCATCCACAAGGGGTCTTGGAACATACTCCCCACAGATAAAGGAAGATTACCAAACAACCAATCTCAGATTCTCCAAGGTTGGACACAAGGATTCTCTAAGAGTATAGAGGCAGCCAGACCTGGAAGCCCAGACCACTGGCTTCCAAGACTTACCTTTCTCTCAAAGACTTCTTTGTTTCATCCTTGTGTGAAGAAAGAATGAACATATTCTAGAAGTTCCCATCTTCTAACAAATGAGTCTCAAGTGTGATTAATCATCCACTCAGTCCTGAAGGCATCTTCTCTGTTCTTTCTCATCTCCCCTTCCCACTCTTTCCTCAATTGAAGAAACAACTTTCTTCATTCTTAACTGAAAGTCTGTAATTTTAGGTCCTTTGTAACTCTAAAGGACATTGGTCACCATGTTCTTAGAGGCAGGAGATGGGCTCTCCTGTGATATAATGCTTTAATCCCAAATTTAATTCTCACAACTTTAAAGATGAAATTCAAAATCCTCAGCTTAGAATACTGAACCCACTCAGCCAGCTGGAGAGAAATACCCACTTGGCTTTCTCTATAGTGAAAGATTTTGGTGCTACATACTCACTTCTGTTGTTTGGGGCTTCATAAAAGTTTCACCCTAATCACAGTAACTTAATACGTAACTGAAGAGAAAAGTAAGGAAGGAAAAGCAGATGACTGGGTTTAAGAAAAAGTATTAGAATAAACTGCCATTGTCAGTGATTCTGTTTTGTGGGGATGAATGCAAGTATTTTAAAATCTGAGGAAAACATCAGATAACGTACTATACTTCAACTGGAAATCAATATTAAAAAAAAAATGGAATTTTGTCCAGAGCTGGAAGAACCAAGTCTTCCTTTCTTCATTCACTGTTCAGATTATGGTAAACGTTTTTTATAATTGCACTTCTTTTCTAGAGGCCAAATACAATAAATTGTTACTATGAAGTAATAAAATAGTACACACACAAACACATATTCATATACATATTTTTAAAAACATGCTTTGAGAGTGATTATTTCCTTTTTCCCAAAGAAAGTTCAAGAAACAGATCAACAGTCTCCAAAACATTAACTCGTTTTTATTTGCCTTTACCATGATCCCTTCCCTTTTCCCTTATTGTGGGTCTGTTCTAATACTTCTGGTGTCACAGATGGCATTCCTGGGGAAAGTCTTAAGGAAAAACATTAAGAGTGTAAAGACAAATGACAGGCTGTCAGTGGATCTCTACCTTTACAAGGACTAGCAAAGATTCCCTGCACTTCTGGCAACACTATACCTGTCCTAACACTTCCAGTGCGACCCACCACCTCCACTCTTCATTTATCATGAGAGAAGGGATTTCTAAATGTTTCCTAGCTGGATTCTCTACATACTGTCCTGGAAATGTCCAAAATTTCCTAAGGCAAAAGGTGAGAAGAAAGCTGTATATATAAGTGCACGTCTGCATCTCTTACCCTTCTCCCCTACACATGTACCCTTTCTATAATGAATGGTATATGCATAGAAAAATGTCTGAAGGACTTTTAAACAATGTGGTGCATTGAGCTGACTCAGAAACAACAGAGAAATGAAGAACGCTGGCCAGGCACAGTGGCTCACGCCTGTAATCCCAACACTCTGGGAGTCCGAAGCTGGCGGATCACCTGAGGTCAGGAGTTCGAGACTAGCCTGGCCAACGTGGCGAAACCCTGTCTCTACTAAAAACACAAAAATCTGCCAGGTGTGGCAGCACATGCCTGTAATCCCAGCTACTCCGGAGGCTGAGACAGGAGAGTCACTTGAACCCATGAGGCAGAGGTTGCAGTGAGCCAAGAACATGCCACTGCAGTCCAGCCTGGGTAACAAAGCAAGACTCGGTCTCAAAAAAAAAAAAAAGAAAGAAATGAAGAACGCTACGATTCCAGAAAACAGTAACTGAAGACTTTTCCAAGGCATTTGGAAATCCTTACACCATTTGGTGGGGGAAAGAGATAATGATGACGTTAAACTTTGTTGAGTATGTGTGTTAAAAATTCAGAAGTAACTGTTAAACAATTAATGATAGAATGCATAATTTCCAAACTCACTGGAGAGGGAAGTGGGAAAATAAAGAAAAATGGATTAATCTAATAAAAGGCAAGAAAAGAGACCAAAAAAAGAAATAGAAAACACAAAATAAGATGGTAGAATTCCAAATGTCAGTAATCACAATAAAAGTTAAATTAATTTCACATATAGAAAGACATAATAACAGCAATTAACATTTATTGGGTATTTACTATGTATCAAGCACTGTTCTTTATATATTCACTCCATTAATCCTCATATCAAATGCATAATATAGATGCTATTATTATCTGCATTTTATGGATGGTAAACTGAGGCTGATAAAATCACCAGCTGGTAAGTGGCAGAGCAAGGACTTAAATTATTGAAGTCTAGTTTTCAACGCTATACTCTAATAGGCTGGGAGCTTATGAGAAGTTCCATCTGGTCCACAAGCACATTATAATCAGTTATCATTTTGCTATAGTGTTCTTGTTCTTTTCCCTTTCTCCCTCCCGCCTCTAATCCATCCTCCCAGTCTCTGCAATCTTTCTCCATTCTCAAACATTTAAACATACTTGCATATGGAAGGGAGTGTTTTGGTCAGGGTTTGCTTTTACAAAAATGGAAACATACTATAATATATGCACTTCTCTGCAATTTGCTTTTCTCTCAAGAATAAACATTAGACGTCTTTCCTGAAGAAGAAACATAAAGCTAACTTACCCTTTTGAAAAAAACTACTTCGTGATACTGCATAGTTTGTATGAACACAATTTATTCAACCACCTTTCAGATAGACCAGTTACAGAGCTGGTCCTGGGATCGCTGCAACAGTCCGAGGACATAGCTTCCCCAACCTCATTCTCACCAATTTCAAGTCAACTTTAGTTTACATTTCCGGGCAGAATGCTTTACATACATTTATTTTTAATCATTCCAACACTCCAGTGATTCAGGTATTATCGTCCCCATTTTGCATGAGAAAACACGGTCTCTGAGTTATTAAACAAGTTGCCTAAGGTCACATAGCCACAAAGTAGCTGAATCCAAAACTCTTGTTCTAAATCTTTACTCTGCTTTATAAGCCCATTTATCACCCCAAATGGGCTGTCTCTGGAGACACCTCGGCTCAGCCAATAAGTCAGGATTTATCTTTGCTCCATGGGCCATCTCCATGGCCCCAGACCTCCCTAGGCACCTAGCTCAGAGATTGAAGATGGTCCCACCCTCCCATGGGCAGTTCGGAATAAAAATTTCCAACTGAGAACTCTACCCTTGAGCAGAGGCTAATCGAAAGGGACCCTTTTATCTCAGAGGTGTCGGCGAGGCTTGCACGATTTATGAGAATCTGAATTTACAGAAGCCAAGATGTACCAGGAGACCCTGAAAAGGGAAGGAGAGGAGACATGGCGGGAGTACTATCACTGTTACTGCAACACAACCAGGAAGCGTCTGGGCGCGACGCGACTCATCCATTTCTAGCAGCTCCCACACCAGCAGGGCAAAAGGGCACTTACCTGCCAACAAACTATTCGACTCTTTTAGTGTTCAGACCCCTCAAACTCTTCACAGTTCACTACCACGTGTTAGGCTTGCAGAATTCTCTGCCCCCAAATCACTGCCTCCAGTGCAGACCCAATCAGGGAGTACTGCGTCATCATTGGGCGCCAGAAAAAAAGCAAAACCGACATTAAAGCGAGCCTTGATGACGGCAAGAGCGAGGGCCCTCTGCCGTTGCTATGGTAACTGAGCCAACGCGAGCGGCCTGCGCAGAGCCTCGTGGGAGTGGTGGTTCGACGGCGTCCTACGCCTGCTTTCCTTGCGGGCGTAGGAACTACAATTCCCAGCGTGACCCGGAAGCAGCCCTGGCAGAAGAGCGGTTGTGGCAGCTTTGGCCGAGGTTCGAGCTCGAACTTGGAAAATGCTAATGGCGCCTCAGGGAAGGTCCTCCTCAAAGAAGAGGATGGGGCTGAATCGCTGGAAACGGTTCACAAGGAAGCCGAGTCCCCAGGTGATCCCGATCGAGAGCTTTGGAGGGCGGGGACTTGCCCAAGGGGCGGGGCAGTCAGGAAGCCAGTCGCGGCCCCTCTGTGCTTCCTGCCTTTCTATCCTTAGCTGACACGCCCCTGCCTTAACCGCCCCAAAGCCAGCATTGCCCTGAGTGAAGTGCTCTAGGATCTCTGGGGTCTGGGTACATTACGGCTTTGGTGGGCCAGCATCGTGGAAGAACTGTTTCTAACGCTTTTCTAAAACCGGAGGTGTCTGCTAATGCCCTTCGAAGTGAAAGGACTTTGCAAACTCCGTTCCCCCTTAAATTTTAGGAAACTTCTCGCATATTTCTTTCTCTTTCTCTCTCTCTTTTTTTTTTTTTTGCAAATCTTGGGGGAATTGATCTTTATTAACGGGGGAGAGCTTCACATTAAATACCCTGCCTGTATTCCTGCCCCTCCACTTTTACGTAAAGTATCTAAATAAACTCAGGAATGCCAATGGATATTGAATACATTAATACTTGATTCACACAGGAATTTCTAAATTCAGTCAACATGCAAAAAATAGATTATCTCCGTGTCTGTCACCCATTTGGATGCATTAGCGCCTGAAGATAAGGAAAAACTGATAACCCACATTTTAAACTTGAAAACATATGTGACATGTGCAAAGTCACAGTTGCACCGTGTGTGCTTTCCACAGACTACCTTTTTAACAGTCCCCAAACGGATGCTTAAAATCTAAATGAGAGTACTAAAATGGAGAAGCTTCTCAGCTTTCAGCTACAGAGCAGTTTCAGCCTCTGTTTTCACCCTTAAGTTACACTTTCCTAAATAATATTCTGTAGATGTATGTGGCCTTTGTGAGGGCCCCAGGAAATTGTTCTTGCAATTTATTCTAAATTTACCAACTAAATGCATTGGACATATTCCACATGGTAAATATGTTGCCCTAGATACTACAGGGCACAGGCTGGAGCATTAGGGAGACTTGGAAACTGAGGCTGCTGCTATTTCAATACATCAGTTGCATGATGTATTGAATCCAAAATAGGTTATGGATATGGACTTGATGATGAAAGGTAAAAATTTAGAATAATTTCTTAGGACTCCAAAAGGAAGGATTTTTCCTGCTAGAGCTCATTATTACTGCCTAGAGAGAAAAAGGGGAAAACATAGGGTTCTTTCAAGTTCAGTTGTGTTTTAATTGGATCAGTTCTTTCTTTGTTGCAGTGACAAAATTATTAAGCTGTACAGCTGCGTTAGTTATCAGTAAGATGGTTTGAAGGCATAGTGTTAGGTAAGTGAAAGAGAGTATTATATTTTTCCCACCTCCATGTGTCAACATGCTAGTTTAGATATCCCCTTATTTTATTATTATTAATATTATTATTATTTTAGAGAGCATATTTGAGTAAGAAGCAATTTATGAACTGGGAACACAACCAAAAGAGATTTAGTGCTCCAATGACACATCATCAGGATATCCCCTTATTTTAAAAACACACCTGAATTTTTAGTAAAGAAGATAACTCTATTCGTTAAGTGACTATTAGAGGGAATTCTGCAAGCTTCTGGGTGTTTGTTTGTTTTTTTAGTGGATACGGGGTTTCACCGTGTTAGCCAGGATGGTCTTGATCTCCTGACCTCGTGATCTGCCCACCTTGGCCTCCCAAAGTGCTGGGATTACAGGTGTGAGCCACTGCGCCTGGCCAAAACACACCTGCATTTTTGGCAAAGAAGATAGCTATTTGTTGTGACTATTAGAGGGAATTCTGCAAGTTTCTGGGAGTTACAGAGAGTGAAGAAAGGAAATGTCCTGATGGTTTTACTTCTAATTTCAGATTAATACCTGACTGATCTGGGTGGAAATTTGTATTTTCTGCTTTGTAAAACAGTAGAAGTCAGATTGATTAACCCTCAGTTTTTATTGGACCAAACAAGATCCCTGATCTAGGTAAGATGAGAAAGCCTCTTGCTACAGGCTACTTATGAAAGGAGTAAGGAGAGGAACACACCCTTCTTTAAGCTAAAGATTACTTGGATAATCTGGCTAATTAATGAGTGCCTTTTTTTTTTAATGAGTAGCTTTATATTTAGCATTTCTATATCTTGACTCTTAACCCTAAGGAGGTTTAAAAAAAATAGCAGTGCCACAGGGTCCTATCCCAATTAAATCACAGTCTCAAGGTGAGCCTAGACAAGAAATAAAAACAATGTCCCAGGAAGGCTTCATGTTTTCTCCTCATACTGCTATTCTGTGTCTTTTATTGCTAATCATGCTGAACTTCCTACTGAAATGCTTTGGGGAAATAATAAAGGACACTGTTCCATATGCTTTAGTCAGAAGCATAGATTTAAATGGCAAAGTTGATGAAGATATTGCTGTGTATTAATGTCCTATATATGTTATCTACAGCCTACTTTTGGTCCTGACAATGTGGAACACTGGATAAAGGTAAGGATATTTCAAATTTAGAATAAAAAGATAATTAAGAGTCGAGCATAATCAGATGGAAAAGAAATATGAGTAGACCTCCACTTTGCACATACTCTGCTATTTTTGTTCCCACATGACTATGTAAGTTGCCTTAATTTTATACTTTTTAGTATTTTTTTTGTCATAATTCTGTTGCCTCTCATGTAGGAATGACAAGAAAAGAGGTGTGTAGACATCGTTTCAAATGCCAAGAGTATCACTTGAAGAGGATTAAAGGAGTTGGGAAAAGAAGCCTTGGGAGAGGATATAGTGGCCTTCCTCCGATGTTGGAAAGACTTCACTGTAGTTACAATAACATAGGGACTAATGGGTGAAAACTACATGTGCATCACAAATAAGAATTTTCTAATGACTAGTCCATCCAAAAGTGGACTGGGCATTCTTATGGAGATGTGTTTTCTACCACTGAAGCTATTTTAATGGACCAAATGGTCACTTAATGTTAGGCTAATGAACAATGTGTTTCAGGATTCAGTGAAGTGGGGATTGTGTTAGATAACCTCTGACATTTCTTCCAGGCCTGAAATACGTATTTTTGAGTCTGAGTACCATTTAATTTGAAAGTACCATTAAATCATTCCAGGTGTGTGCTTCTGAGTGTCAGTTTGGCAGCTTGCCATATTCAATTCATCGTGTACCACGTGTATCAAAATCATGCAACATTTTCCCTGGAAAGACCCTTCTGACAGTATTTTGAAGAGTGATTACTCATCTAAATTGACATGCATCATGAGCACCAGATCCTAGATAGATGTAATAGATCCTAGGCCAAATGTAATAATTTTTAGCGATTTATTTATTCAGCTGGTATTTGAGTGCCTACTAAATACTAGCTCACTGTGTTGGGCATTGGAGCTAAATCAGAGCAGGTACAGTCCCTGCCCTCCCACGGTTTACAGTCCAATGGAGAATAAGCAACTTACCTAAAGCTCATGAGAGAATTAAAGATGTAATGAAAGTATGTGGTGAGAGGCACTAATTTAAATGGGGTTCGGGCAAGCTTCCTGGATACTGCAGAAAGCCTAACTTAGAAGATGACTAAAGTGGATCTGCCATCATGAATGCTAGCCTTTAGGAAGACCATTCCGCATTATCTAGTAAGATTAGCTTGCATGTGAGTGTTGAGAGTCCCAGTGCCAGTATACGATAGGATGGTAAGTACTATGGAGACAGTCAGAGCAGAGGACGGGGAGAAGGAGAGCTGGAGGAGAGCGTTTACAGTTTTATATAAGGTGGTCAAAGAAGGCATTACTGGGAAGGTGACATTTGAGCAAAGGCTTCAGGAGGTGAGAGAAGGAGGCCTATGGGTATCCATAGGAGAGCAGTTCAGCAGTTCAGGCAGAGGGGAAGCAAGTACAAAGGCTCTAAGCTGAGGACACACTGAGCATATCTGAGGAGGAACAAGCAAGGAGGTCCATGTGGCTGAAGTAGAATGAGCAAAGGGAAGAGTAGCGAGGGGCTTGGAAAGCTCACAAAGGGCTGCGTAGCAGGACCTGGAAGCTCATTGTAAGGACTTTGACATTAATTCTGATTGAGATCAGGAGCCATTGAAGGCTTTTGAGTGGAGTTGTGACATACATGATGTGGCTTTCATTTTAAAGGAGTCATTCAGTGCTGTGGTGAGAGGCTATTCCAGAAAACCTGTCAGGAAATTGTTGTGCCTTGGACCAAGATACTAGCAATGGAGGTGATGGGAAGGGGTCAGATTCTATATATATTTTAAAGATAGAGTCAACAGATTTCCTGATCAATTATAGGTGGGGTGAAAGAGAGATAGATTGGATTAAGGACTCCAAAGTTTTCACCCTGAGGAATGTAGTTGTCTCTACCTGAGTTGGAAGAAACACAGCAATCATGGGAGAACACAGGTTTCTGGGAGGGGGAAGTTAGGGGTTAAGTTATAAAATAAGTTTTAACATTTTTTTTTCTTTTGAGACAAGAGTCTCGCTCTGTCACTCGAGCTGGAGTACAGTGGCACAATCTCAGCTCACTGCAACCTCTGCCTGCCGGGTTCAAGTGATTCTCATGCCTCAGCTGCCCAGGTAGCTGAGATTACAGGTGTGTGCCACCACACGCGGCTAATTTTTGTAGTTTTAGTAGAGACAGGGTTTCACTGTGTTGGCCAAGCTGGTCTTGACCTCAAGTGATCCACCCACCTCGGCCTCACAGAGTGCTGGGATTACAGCATGAGCCACCGTGCCCAGCTTTAAAATTTATTTAATTAAATTTATTTATTTTGCGACACAGTCTCACTTTGTCACCCAGGCAGGAGTGCAGTGGCATGAACACAGCTCATTGCAGTCCCAACGCTCTGGGCTCAAGAGATTCCTCCCACCTCAGCCTCTGAAGTAGCTAGGATTATAGGTGTGCACAACCACACCTGGCTAATTTTTTATTTTTTAACTAGAGGTAGGTCTCACTATGTTCCCCAAGCTGGTCTCAAACTCTTGGGCTTAGGCAGTCCTCCCATTTTGGCCTCCCAAAGTGCTATGATTATAGGCATGACCCACTGCACCAGCCTAAAATAAGTGTTTTTATTCTGTGCAGGTAAATAAAAACGCTAAGGCAGTTTGCCCACTTCTGCTATTTCTTCCCCCAATCCTGCAAATTTGGTCATGTTTTTACTAGACTCTTGCTGTTGAGTTAAAACATTCTAGATGGCTACAGTTAAGTGACTCTTTTTATCCCAATTTTATTGAACCTAATATATGATTGCCTAATATAAGATGGGAGGTTTCCTTCCGGAGTACTAATTTGCTGAAGTGTGGTTTACTCCACCTCTGGTTCATATTCATATGCAAGTCCTAAGGGCATGAAAACTAATAAAATATAATATTTTTTATTTAAAGTAAAATATCCATGTCTCAGGATCCTATCACTAATGCCCTAAACAAAAGTTATCTACATCTTAATAACCTTTTGTTCAGATATCAAAATTGTGAACACCTGTTAGAACTTGGTAAAATACTGCAATTAATTTAATATATATGAAACCCCCCCAGAATATTTGGGGGTAGATGTTTAAACCTCAAGAGTTTCTCCACAAATGGAAAGATGAATGAATCTTAGTAGTTGGTAGAAAATCAGATTCTTGAATAGGAGAGAAATTCTCTAACTGAACAAATTTGTTGTCTTAATGGATTTTTTTTTCTGTTATATTGAAGAGAGTGGAGAAAGCCTCAGAATTTGCAGTGTCAAATGCCTTTTTTACTAGAAATTCAGATTTACCCAGAAGTCCCTGGGGCCAAATCACAGATTGGAAAACATCTGAGCAAATAGAGGATCATGATGAAATCTATGCAGAAGGTAAGAGAATGCATTTTCTGCTGTAATGTTAACAGTTCTTAAAGCATAACCCCATGATGCATTTCAAAATAAAGAATGGAAGTTTTTCTTACTCTTGTTCTTAATTTCCCTTTCTTTCTACTCCCCTGAAGCTATTTTACTCTGGAATTAACTCCAATATTACAAGTAAGGATATACTTAAGCCTCATTTTGTTGCCCAAATTAGAACCACATCTAGAGGTGGTTTGATACAACAGCTAATTAGTGAATGCTGTAAGATGTTAGTCCTGTGACAAAGATGGTAGCAAGTTAATTTGATCAAATATTATAGAGATAATTTGACTACAGTCTGTAAATCAGTTTTACTCCTGATAAAGAGACCCTAAAAACAGTCTAACCTTCCTATGTCCCAGAAGCATTTACTCTTCCAGAATTTGGTATTTTCGTTACTGATGCCCTGAGGAACTCTACCATTTAGGGATGGAAGGAATCAAGGACCAACAAAGGAGACTGAGAAAGGGAGGCCACTATGGTAGATGGAAAGTCAAGAGTGTGATGTCCTACAAGCCAACTTCCGTTTGAATTCCTTATGTCTCCAGTTATTCCATTTATTTCTTCATTTTTTCAACATATATATACTCTGTGCTAGGTACAATTTTAGGCACTGGAAGTACTGGTTAAGAACAAGAGAGACAAAGCCCTTTCTTTCATGAAATATACATTTCCTGTGGGAATAAAGAAAATTTTACAGTGATCCAGTAGTAAAAAGTCATTCAAGTTCAGACCTGAGTCAGCGAGGAGCAAGGAGTCAGCTGAACAATGTGATGGGGGAAGCATCCAGGCAGATGGAAAGGGAGCATGAAGTACAGACAGGCATGGTGTGCTGCAGGAAGACCCGTGTGGCTGGAGCATCCCCAGAGAGAGAAGCTGGTGGGAGTGAGGAGAGGGCATGTCACATAGGGCTTTCCAAGCCTGGGGAAAGAATTTAGATTTTACTCTGAGTATGACAGGATAGAATTGAAGAGTTTTAAGCAGAGGAGTAATATGACAGTTTATAAAATATATGAAGGATGTAGCAGGGCGTGGTGGCGGGTGCCTGTAATCCCAGCTACTTGGGAGGCTGAGGCAGGAGAATCACTTGAATCCAGCAGGCGGAGGTTGCAGTGATCTGAGATCTTGCTATGCACTCCAACCTGGGTGACAGAGCAAGACTCCATCTCAAATAAATAAATTAATTAATTAAATATAGGAAGAATGGATTATAGGGGAGAAAAAGAGAGAAAAGGGCAACCAGTGGGAGGCTGCTGGCAGCAGTCTGGGTGAGCAGTAACGGTAGTGGTTTAGAGTGGTTGATAGTACTGGAGCTAGAGAAAGGAGATTGTTTCTGAAATTGGCTTGGCTGATCTTGCTCACCTCACCTCCCACCCTGCCAATACAGACACACAATATACTTTAACCTGCTAAGGGTTCTGAGAAGTCCTGCAGTTAGAAAGAAATGTTTACTTGCCTCGTTTCCCATGCTGCCTAGACCATGAACCTCTTTTTATCCTGAAATCTGTATATTATCCTGAGAAACTAGTGATTCACATTAGGAACATGGTTTGGTGTATGGACAGAACAGCAGTGGATAGAACATGGTTTTCAAAGGTTGATACCATTTTTTCTCATCTCATCAACTATATTAATGTTCTACAAAAAGTAGTGTTCTGAGGAACATACTTTGAAAATCTGTGCTTTAAGGTAGTTTGTATACTTCTCATGTGGTCCATCATGAGGTATTTCTACAGTTTAACCTCTCCAAGGGAAGTTTTATTTGTTTTTGGGGGTACTTCACAGTAAATCCCCATGTACCAAAACATATCATTTAGTAGGTGTGAATTATTTTGCATATAAATTATTATACACATAAATGTTTGAATTATTGTACACAAGGGCTACTCAGTAAATATCTTCTCCATTTCTCTACCTCCCCCTAAAAGCCAGTAGCATTAGTTGCTAGTATGCTTTTAACACGTCGTTTATATTACTCTGATTTATTTTTTCCTATTTTATCTTTATTAAGTGTCTCTTGGCATCATTTAATATAAACACCCCATTCCCTAAGAACTAACTATGCAATAATGATCACAATAATGATGAAGATAATGAGAAAATAAACAAAAGAGCTGTTTGATAGTAATAACAGTGATGAAAGTTATGCTAAAGCAGGCATTTTCCCCATACCTAAATAATTTCAGGAGATTTTCTCAATAGCATTAAGAAAGAAATTCAAATGGAGGTTAGCTTTCAGGATATAACACTCTTGGATTTTCCTCCTACCTCAATGGCCTCTCCTTCCTAGCCGGCTTTCCTGGTTCCACCTTATCTCTTCAACCCCTAAATCCTGGAGTTCCTCAGCACTCAGTCCTTAAACCTCTTCTCTGTCTACCTTCCTCCTTTGGTAATTTCATCCACTTCTATGATTTTAAATACAGTCTGCGTGCTAAAAACTTCCACATTTATTTCTTCAGCTTTGACCTCTCCCCTGAAATCCAGAGTATTGTAGCCAATACCATATTTGACATCCCTATTTGAATGTCTCCTAAACATCTCAAACCTAACATGTCTGGGACTGAACTCCTGATCTTCCTCCTCAAACCTGCTGCTATCCTTGGCCTTCCCCATCTCAGTAAATGGCATCACCATCCTTGCAGTTGCTTAAGCCAAAAACCTCATAGATTTCTTTCTCTCATGTCCCATATCCAATCCGTCAGCAAGTCATGTCAACTCCACCTCAAAACATTCTTTTCTAGAATCTGACCATTGGTGATACCTCCACTCCCAGGTCCAGGCCACCATCACCTCTCTTCTGGATTATTGTACTTGTTTCCCAATTGGTGTTTCCTGCCTCCGTTCTTGTCCCCTATAGTTTAACTTAATAGTCAAAGTGATTCTCTTAAAATATATCACCTCTCTGCTCACATCTCTCCTGTGGCTTCCCATTGCACGCAGAGTAAAAGCCCAAGTAGCTAGAATGGTGTCAAGACTCTAAGCAAGGGAATTTCAGCCTCAGGACTATTGACATTTTGGGCTAGAGAATTTTTGTGGGGGCTGTCCTGTGAATTGCAGGATGTTTAGCAGCATCCCTGGCCTATACCTACTAGACGATAGTATTACTTCCCCCAGTTATGACAACACAAAATGGCTCTAGACATTGGCTTAGGTCCACTGAGGGGCAAGATTACCCCTGGTTGATAATCATTGCCCTAAACACTCCCCTAAAGATGATCTGCACATTACCCCTCCAACCTCATCTCCTACTGTCTCCTCCTCACTCACTTCTCTTTGACCACACTGGCCTCCTTGCTGCTTTTCCAACACTGTAGATACTCCTGCACAAGACCTCTGCATTTGTTTTCCCTCTGCAGAGAATCATATTACCTTATACATCCTCACTTCTCTCACATTCTTCCCTTCTTTGCTCAAATATCTTTTTTTCAGTGAAGCTTTCTTTTACCTCCCAATTTATTTTTATTATTATTTTTTAAAATTTTTATTATACTTTAAGCTCTAGGGTACAAGTGCACAATGTGTAGGTTTGTTACATATGTATACATGTGCCATGTTGGTGTGCTGCACCCATTAACTCATCATTTACATTAGATATATCTCCTAATGCTATCCCTCCCCGCACCCCATGACAAGCCCCAGTGTGTGATGTTCCCCTTCCTGCATCCAAGTGTTCTCATTGTTCAATTCCCACCTATGAGTGAGAACATGCAGTGTTTGGTTTTCTGTTCTTGTGATAGTTTGCTGAGAATGATGGTTTCCAGCTGCATACATGTCCCTACAAAGGACATGAACTTATCCTTTTTTATGGCTGCATAGTATCCATGGTATATATGTGCCACATTTTCTTAATCCAGTCTGTCATTGATGGACATTTGGGTTGGTTCCAAGTCTTTGCTATTGTGAATAGTGCCACAGTAAACATACGTGTGCATGTGCCTTTATAGCAGCATGATTTATAATCCTTTGGGTATATACCCAGTAATGGGATGGCTGGGTCAAATGGCATTTCTAGTTCTAGATCCTTGAGGAATCGCCACACTGTCTTCTACAATGGTTGAATTAGTTTACAGTCCCACCAACAGTGTAAAAGTGTTCCTATTTCTCCACATCCTCTCCAGCACCTGTTGTTTCCTGACTTTTTAATGATTGCCATTCTAACTGGTGTGAGATGGTATCTCATTGTGGTTTTGATTTACATTTCTCTGATGGCTCGTGATGATGGGCATTTTTTCATGTGTCTGTTGGTTGCATAAACGTCTTCTTTTGGAAGTGTCTGTTCATATCCTTTGCCCACTTTTTGATGGGGTTTTTCTGGTAAATTTGTTTGAGTTCTTCATAAGTTTTGGATATTAGCCCTTTGTCAGATGAGTAGATTGCAAAAATTTTCTCCCATTCTGTAGGTTGCCTGTTCATTCTGATGGTAGTTTCTTTTGCTGTGCAGAAGCTCTTTAGTTTAATTAGATCCCATTTGTCAATTTTGGCTTTTGTTGCCAGAAGTCCTTGCCCATGCCTAAGTCCTGAATGGTATTACCTATGTTTTCTTCTAGGGTTTTTATGGTTTTAGGTCTAATGTTTAAGTCTGTAATCCATCTTGAATTAATTTTCATATAAGGTGTAAGGAAGGGATCCAGTTTCAGCTTTATATGGCCAGCCAGTTTTCCCAGCACCATTTATTAAATAGGGAATCCTTTCCCCATTTCTTGTTTTTGTCATGTTTGTCAAAGATCGGATGGTTGTGTATGTGTGGTATTATTTCTGAGAGCTGTGCTCTGTTCCATTGGTCTATATCTCTGTTTTGGTACCAGTACCATGCTGTTTTGGTTACTGTAGCCTTGTAATACAGTTTGAAGTCAGATAGTGTGATGCCTCCAGCTTTGTTCTTTTGGCTTAGGATTGTCTTGGCAATGTGGGCTCTTTTTTGGTTCCATATGAACTTTAAAGTAGTTTTTTCCAATTCTGTGAAGAAAGTCATTGGTAGCTTAATGGGGATGGCATTGAATCTATAAATTACCTTGGGCAGTATGGCCATTTTCACAATATTGATTCTTCCTATCCATGAGCGTGGAATATTCTTCCATTTGTTTGTGTCCTCTTTTATTTCATTGAGCCGTGGTTTGTAGTTCTCCTTGAAGAGTTCCTTCACATCCCTTGTAAGTTGGATTCCCAGGTATTTTATTCTATTTGAAGCAATTGTGACTGGGTTACCTCCCAATTTAAACAACAACACCCATCTTCCATTTCTTCCTGTCCCTGCCTTTTCTCTTATTTACTTGTTGTCTCTCTTCCCCAGTTGGAATGTAAGTTTTATGATGCTAGGGCTTATTTTTCCAGTTTTGTTCACTGCTGTATTCCAGTGTCTAGAACACTACTTGATAGGTACTCAGTTAATATTTATTGAAGAAATGAAAACAGTGAATAAAGAAAATCTCTGAAGTAATTGAAATATTTAAAATGTGTTTTTGTTTTATTGTAGCTCAGGAGCTGGTCAATGACTGGTTAGACTCCAAACTTAAGCAAGAATTAGCAAGTGATGAAGAAGGTGATGCTAAAAACACTGTGTCAAGTGTCACTCTTGTGCCGGAAGCCAATGACCATTTGAAATATGACAAGTTTGATGGTAAGAACTTATCTGATTGTTCTAAGTTTTAACATTTAATGAATGTGTCTAAGGAGTCCTTATAATTGTTTTGAATAACAAATGATACCTATTTAACTTTTCTGTGTTTTAATTTTTATTATTGGTTTTAATTTATCATAGTTAAATGTAATTTATTATGCTATATCTTCAGTAAATTCATGGTATTTTTAAAAATTAAAATATTCTATTACAGTTATCCCTAACTAACTGTGAGGAATTAGTTCCAGGACCCCTGGCCCCCACAGATACCAAACTCCTCAGATGCTCTAGTCCTGCGCATATCCTCTCGCATACTTGAAATCATCTCTAGACCACTTACAATACCTAATACAGTATACATTCTATGTAAATAGTTGTTATACTGTATTTTAAAATGTTTGTTATTTTTTATTGTTGTATTGTTATTTTTAATTTTTTTTTCAAATATTTTTGAACTGCGGTTGGTTGAATCCAAGAATGTGGCATCTGCAGATAGGGAGGGCCAACTGTATTTATAATTCTGCTTATAATAGCAATTAATGCTGTTTCAGAGTGCCTCTTCCTCATATATCACTGGACTATTTACTTTGATGCAGACTACATTTAAGTGCTCATATGTCATTTTTAAATTTATAAAATGCTTCTTATTTATCTGTTAGTTATTACTTATAAGGGAGGTTATTACTTTTCTAGTTTTTTTTTTTTTTTTTCCCCAGAGGAGGGAAAAGCCACTATTGTGCACAGAGCCAGTGTCAGACAAGTTAGATGGCTGATGTCTGAGTGTTTATCTAATACACTCAAGGGTCTGTATATTTTTTCCCCTGAGCATAGGAGTAGTCATGGTAATGGTGGGGCAGCTCCCCATACATGACTCAGATACACTTGGTGAATTCACCTGACATCATACCCCTTGTTTAGGACTCTGTAAAATCCCCAGGTTGAGGATCACAAAACTATCAGCTTGTCAAATTAGAAGAATCCTTCAAGACTAGGTAGTCTGATCTACCCTCCTCCCTGACCCAGATAGAGATCATTCTACAGTGTCCCTAACTTGTAGTGACGTATCCTCTGCCTGAACACCTCCCAGGAGTGAGAGCCTGCACTTTGTGGGGAGCCCATTCAACCGGTCTGAGGCTCTAATCCTCATGGCAGTTTCCCTTAGTTAGGAGAATTAGGATTTTGTCTTCAGTAACTTTTTACCCTATGGTACAACAAAAATAACACGTTCTCTCTCAAGAACGTTTTATTATTTGTAGGAGCTGTTACCATATTTGACCACTCATATAGTTCTATGTTTCCAGATTAAATAGCACCAGTACTCTCAACAAGTTTTTTATACCACATGGTTTCTAGGTCTTATCATCCTCGTTGCTGCCTTCTGGATATTTTCTAGTTTATTATTGTCATTATTAAAGTGTGGTACTTCAGTACTTCGTATTTGTTCTGGAGCAAATATATGGAATCTAATGAAACTATTACTTCTTTTGATATAGTGCTAATAGATCTAATTATGTCCCTTTACTTAGATTGGTTGATATCATCTAGTATCATGCCAGGTCTCAATCATCATATGCTGGTAGAGTTTGTTTTTAATTGAAATATTGAACAAATATTTATGTAACCATTAAAAAGGATGTTTACCAAAAATATTAATTAAAATATTATCTCAATAGACACAGAAAAAGCACTTAACAAAATCCAACATGCATTCCTGATAAAAACTTCTCATCAAACTAGTAATGCAAGAGAAATTCTTCAACTTGATAAAGGCTATTTACATAAGACATGTAGAAAACAAATACCAAAATGATAAGTGTAAGCTTTGTCAGGAATTACATTAAATATAAATGCATTTAATTAAACACTTCAGTCCAAATGCAGAGATTGGCAGAATGGATAAAAAATACATGACTTAGCTATATACTATCTACAAGAGACATATGTTCAATTTAAAGTACAAATAGGTTAAAAGGAAAAGGATGGAAAAAGATATACCATGCAAACAGTAACCAAAAGAGAACTACAGTGGCTATGTTAATATATATTAAAAAAGACTTTTTATTTTTATTTTTTCTTTGATTTTTAATTTTCCCAAAAATAGACTTTTAAAGAAAAAATTGTTACTAGAAACAAAAAGTGCATTTTCTAACAATAAAAGGGTCAATCCATCACAAAAACATAACAACTGTAAATATATATACACCTGACAAAAGAGTCCCAAGGTAGATGAAGCAAAATTTGACAAAATTGAAGAGAGAAATATAATTCAACAATAATACAATCATGTGTTGCTTAATGAAGGGGATAAGTCCTGAAAAATGCCTCATTAGGTGATTTTGTCATTGTGCGAACATGATAGAGTGTACTTACACAAACCTGGATGGTAGAGCCTACCATACACCTAGGCTATGTGAGATAGACTATTGCTTCTAGGCCACAAACCTGTACTGCATGTTACTTAATACTACAGGCAATGGTAACACAATGGTAAGTATTTGGGTGTCTGAACATATCCAACCATAAAAAAGTACAGTAAATATACAGTATAGAAAAGGTAAAAAGTGTTACACCTGTACAGGGTATATACCATGAATGGAGTTTGCAGGGCAGGAAGCTGCTCTGGGTTAGTCAATGAGTGAGTCGTGAGTAAATGTGAAGCCCTAGGATGTTAAAATATGCTGCTGTAGACTTAAAAACACTGTATACTTAGGGTACACTGAATTTATAAAAACGTATTTTTCTTTTTTCAATAATAAATTGACCTTAACTTACTATAACTTTTTTACTTTATAAGTTTTTAATTTTTTCTAACATTTTGACTCTTTGGTAACACTTAGCTTAAAACAAACACATTGGAGAGCTGGACAAATTTTTTTTTAATTCTATGTACTTTTTTCTATTTTTGAAATTTTAATTTTTTTTTCTTGTTAAAAAACTAAGACACAAACATACATATTAGCCTAGGCCTACACAGGGCCAGGATCATCAATATCACTATCTTCTCCTCCACATCTTGTCTCACTAGGTCTTCAGGGGCAATAACACACATGTAGCTGTCATCTCCCGTGATAATATTACCCGCTTTTGGATATCCCCTAAAAGACCTGCCTGAGGCTATTTTACAGTTAACCTTTTTTTTTTTTTTTTTTTTGAGACAGGATCTCCCTCTGTTGTGCAGTGGTGATCATAGATCACTGCAGCCTTGAACTCCTGGGTTCAAGAAATCCTCCAGCCTCAGCCTCCGTAGTAGCTGAAACTACAGGTGTGTGCCACCACACCCAGCTAATTTTTTTTCTTCTTTTAATAGAGACAGGGTCTTGCTTTGCTTCTCAGGCTGGTCTCCAACTCCTGGGCTCAAGCAATCCTCCCATGTCGGCCTCTCAAAAGTGGTGGGATTACAGGTTTGAGCCACTGTGCCCGGCCCAATTTTTTTTTTTTTTCTAATAAGTAGGAATAGACTCTAAGATAATGATAAAAGTATAGTTTAGTATATACATAAACCAGTAACATAGTTATTATTATCATTATCAAGTATTATGTATTGTATATAATTATATGTGCTATACTTTTTTGTGTAGTATTCTAAGATTTTTTGTGGGTGCTTTATTTTAACTTTTATTTTAAGTCCAGGGTACATGTGCAGGATGTGCAGGTTTGTTAATAAGATAGACACGTGCCATGGTGGTTTGCTGCACAGATCGACCCATCACCTAGGTATTAAGCCAAGCATCCATTAGCTTTTCTTCCCAATGCCCTTCCTCCCCCTGCCACCCATGACAGGCCCCAGTGTGTGTTGTTCTTCCCAACGTTTCCATGTGTTCTCATCATTCAGCTCCCACTTATAAGTGAGAACATGCAGTGTTTGGTTTTCTGTTCCTGCATTAGTTTGCTGAAGATAATGGCTTCCAGCTCCATTCATATCTCTGCAAAGGACATGATCTCATTCCTTTTTATGGCTGCATAGTATTCCTCAAAGATCTAGAAGCAGAAAACCATTTGACCCAGCAATCCCATTAATGGGTATATACCCAAAGGAATATAAATCATTCTATTATAAAGATACATGCATGTGTATGTTCATTGCAGCACATACTCTTCACAATAGCAAAGACATGGAATCAGCCCATCAGTGATAAACTGGATAAAGAGAATGTGGTGCATGTGCTACACTTTTAAACAACTGTTAGTGTGGTTATTTTGTTTATACCAGCATCACCACAAAACACATGAGTAATGCATTGTACTCTGACATTATGATGGCTACAGCATCACTAGGCAATAGGAGTTTTTCAGCTCTGTTGTAATCTTATGAGGCCACCTTCGTACACGCAGTTCATTGTTGATGGAAGTGTTGTTATTTGATACATGACTGTAGTTAGAGACTTCAATACCCCACTATCAATAATCTTTGGAACAACTACAAAGCATAATCAAGGAAGATGTTCAGTAACATTAGTCATTAGAAAAGTGCAAATTAAAACTGCAATGAGTTACCTCTACATATGTTAAAATGGCTTAAATTTGAAAGACTGACCACACCAAGTATTAGTAAGGATGTGGAGAAATTGGAATACTTCTACAATGCTGGTGGGAATGTAAAGTTATGTAACCACTTTGGACAACAGTTTGATAGTTTCTTGAAAAAGTAAGCATTTAGCTATAATATGATCCAGTCGTTCTACTCCTACACATTTTCCCAACAGAAAAGAAAGCCTATGTTCTGTAGGTTCTGCATTTGTGGACTCAACCAACCGTGGATCAAAAATATTCAGGAAAAAGTAATTCCATCTGTACTGTACATGTACAGCTTTTTTCTTGTCATTATTCCCTAAACAATACATGTAACAAGTATTAACATAGCATTTACGTTGTATTGGGTATCATAACTAATCTAGAGATGATCTAGAGTATAAGGCAGGATGGATATAGGTTATATGCAAATGCTACACCATTTGGTATCACGGATTTTTGAACATCCTTGGATTTTGGTATTCTCGGGAGGTCCTGGAACCAATCCCCCAGAGATAGGGAGGGATGACTGTACACATGTGTTCATAATACCTTTATTTGCAATAGCCAACACCTGGAAAGAACTCAAATGTCTATCAACAAATGAGTGAATAAACAAATTGTGGTATATTTATATGGTGGAATACTACTCAGCAATAGAAAGTGATAAACTATTGATACACATAACATGAATGAATCTCAAAATAATTGTGCTGAGTGAAAGAAGCTAGGTCAGAAAAAATACAATGTATATAAGTGTATGATTTAATTTATATAAAATTCTGGATAATGAAAACTACATAGTGGCAGCAGGTCTGTGCTTACTTGGAGCAGAGTGGAGGGTAAGGGGAGGAGTGAAAGGAAGAGATTACAGATCAGATCAGCATGAGGACCCTTTTGGGGCTGATGGATGTATTCATTATCTTGACTGTGGTGATGGTTTTACTAGCATATGTCAAAATTTATCATAGACTTTAAATATTTGCAGTTTATTATATGTCAATTATACCACAATAAAGCTTTTCTCTTTCTTTCTTTCTTTTCTTTTTTTTTTTTTTTTAAGCAGTAGAGCTCTCAAGATTGTTTAGGTTGAAGTTCTCAAGGTTGTTTAGATGGTAATCTTTTAGATTTGGCAGTGAAGGACTCTAGTGGCTTGGGTGAGGGCAATGCTTGGTAAGTGGAGCTTTTTTACTCTTAGTTGAAGGTAATTGCTGAGGGCTATACTCAACCAGTTGCCATTATCAGTTACTATTTACTGAACATTCGCAGCTTTGTATTTTTACTGTACTAGGATTCTTTATGTAAATATGAATATAATACTAAAATTAATTTTTTAAAAAATTTCCCTTTTTCGTTGTTCTGTTTCCCCCAGATTTATGTGGCTATTTGGAGGAAGAAGAGGAAAGTACCACCGTTCAAAAATTTATAGACCATCTGCTCCATAAAAATGTGGTAGATTCTGCAATGATGGAAGATCTTGGAAGGAAGGAAAACCAAGACAAGAAGCAGCAGAAGGATCCTCGTCTTACCATGGAGATGAGACATAAGCAGGTGGGAGGGAAAAACAAAATTAAAATGGATAACAGGAAGCAGTCTTTGTGTAACACATTTAATAAGCTTAAATAAAGACATAGGCTTTATTATGAAAAAGGGTGCCATCTGTGGTTTGGTTAGGGAGCATAAAAATAAAATATAAGAACTTCAGAAGAAAAATAATTCTCATAAACTGAGGGTAGGAAACAATTTATTTAAGAAATAGCCAAAAAAAAGAATAATTGATTTTGACCAAGAGTATTGAGATAAACCTTATTAGTTTGAATGTGGTACTTCCTATTATAAACATGTAGATTGTGTGTGCTTGAGTTTGGTTTTCAAATTGCAACATTAATATTATTAATAATCTTGTGAATGTTACAGGATAATTCTTTTCCAGACAACTGAAATTCACTCATTTTGTGATTATAATTTAAAATGGAAGACAGATCTGAATTGAATCAAGTTCAGCTGTTTTGAATTAGAAAAGCATGTGAGAACTTTCTTTTCTCCAAAGGGAATAGTAGGTTATTGCAAAAAAGACTGGTGTCTCAACACTTTGTAAAGGAGTGCCAGGGAATCCAGAACTAAGATTGAACCGGAATTAATATCTGTATGTGTGTGTGCCATCTTTGTATAACACTGAATTTCTGATTGCCGAATTTGAAAGTAACTGCTTTAAATTATTCAATCAAGGTATATGTAATCAGCACTGGGGATGTTAGAGAAATGGGTAGAAGTATGATTCTAGTTTGGATTTATGACAAAAGGGAGGAGAGAAGGTTCAATAAGGTATATAGTCATTGTCTGTCTTATCAGAAGTCTTATCACAACTAGAGAGTAAGATAAGGGTAAAGTTAGGTGAAGCAGGAAGGAAAGGACCTTTCCTTAATTCATAGCTACTCAAGCTCTCTAAAGGATTAATAGGTGTGAAAAAAATGAATGTGCTTTTTCATGTTTTTGATTTCCTAATATGATCCAGAATCACTGCTATATTTACATAATAATAATAGAAATGAATAAAGGTTGTGGTATTCCTAAAGTCAATAAATCACTGTTCTATCATTCACAATGTGGCTTCCAAAAAAGTTCTGTTCTTTCTTAAATTATAATTAGAATGCAGATATAACCTAAATATAATAAAAGCAGTAATGTATACCTTGGACAGTCGTTACAAGTGAGAAATCATTACTAAATGAGAATCCAGAACTTGAGATCTGACTCATTAGATTCTCTACTTTTCTGTGATGTGGATCATTCCCAGATTATTTGAGTCATCTTCATCTGACTGCATCTAAAATTTTATATTGGTCTTTACCCAGTAAACAGATGAATTCCTCCTATCCTACCAGTAAATAGTGGAGTTCTGGGTCAGAATATTTCAAACTGGTTATATTCTGAACTTCAAAATGTATTGTAAGGTTTTTCATATCCCTTTCTACTTGAAAGGCCACACTTCATCTTTATTATATTTGCTTTAAGGTAAAAGAAAATCGCTTAAGACGTGAGAAAGAACTGGAGTACCAGAGAATACAAAAGACCCTGAAAAAATCGGCCTTCTTGGAGGCTCAGTGTCTGGTGCAAGAAGAGAAGAAAAGGAAGGCTCTGGAGGCCAAGAAAGAGGAAGAGGAGATTCAAAGGGAGATGGTGAAGCTGCGGAGGGAGATAATTGAGAGGAGATGCACTGTGAAAGAAGCATGGAAAATGTAAGCCAGTGTGATAAGCACTGTGGGGTTTCTCTGTTTAAGCAGTCATTTTAGAAGTGCTCTGAAGTTTTTAAAGTGGGCAAACATTGCAATAACAAAACACAAAAGAGAAATCACTCACTATTCCACCGTCTTAACAAATTAACTAATTTCATTTTTCCTTGTTTCCTCCTGATCTTGGTCCCTTTTCATACTTAATTATAACCATAAAGTACATTTAATTCGTAATTCTGCTTGTTGTAATTAACACATTGCCTGGAGTCCTGGGGTGTATATATTACTCCATTGAGTTCCTATACCATAATTTATGTAATGATCACCTCCCCATACTAGTAAACATTTCAGCTATTTTGGATTTTTCACCATTATAATATTGCAATGAGCATCTTTAAGCATACGTTTTTTTCACTTTTTTGAATTATATCCTTAGAATAAATTCTTAGGAGTGTAATTTCTGAGTTAAATGACACAGGTCTTTTTCTAACTCTTGAAACATTGCCAAATTGCTTTCAAAATGGGTTGTACTTGTTTGCTGTATCATCAGCAGCAGGCCAGTTTATCACACTCTTCCCAGCACTGGGGAGTATCATCATTTTCAATATTTTTACACTTTTCATGGGCATTATATTGGTTAGTTTGCATTTCTTTGGTTAGATAATATTTTTGAGGTTGAACATGTTCAGTAATTGTGTCTTATCCTGTTGTGAACTGTGTGTCTTACTTTCTGATAATCATATGGAAAGTCACCACTGTCTTACTACCACTGATAAAGAAAAAGAATATCTGACATAAGAGGAAGATAAAAATAGTCCTCACGGGATGTAGTACTATTATCCATCCTCATGCAGAAAATGAGCTTTATAAGTGAAATAACTAATGTATTTATTCTGAGAAACAGCACCAATGCAGGAACTGCAAAAGCCTTGGAACAACATGACTGAAGTGTCTGACTACTCAAACTGAGAGGCCACAAAGACCTAGCAGATAATCCCTTCCACCCCCATCAGCCTACACAGCTTTCCCCTCTCTGTTCTTGATTGCTCTTATTCTACCCAACTTAAAACAGCTCAGCAGTGAACATGTGCTTTACTTCTTCAAGTGCCAGGCTGAGGCCTCCTCCAGATGCCATTCCTTTCGGAAAGCAATCACTGGTGTTTTAGTGAGTTCTTTCTAAGGTCAGCCTTGCTTTTCAGATTGCTCCCAAGCCCTGGAAAAACTAGGTTGACCTGAAATAAATTGTGAAAACAAGTAACATTTAATGGTAGTAGGATGCTGTGCTCACAGTGGGCACTCAGCAAATGTTCACCGACCAGTCATTTCTTTTAAAAGTTAAGATCTTATCCATGGTTACAGTGAGATAGGTAATATGTTCTACTTCTAGGTGGATGAACTGATTTAAAACTTTCCAGAAAGCAATTTGGCAATAAACAACAAGAGCCATAAAATAGCATTATCCCTTGACCTAGGAATTACAGCCTTGGGAAAACTGCCCTAAGAAAATTATCAGAAATCCAGACAAAGATTTGTATAGAAAGATAATTTAAACAACATTATTTATAGTAACAGACTTTCATAAATATTGGAGAAATTGCTAAGTCATGGCTTGTACAATGAAACAGGACTGACTCTTGTTTCTGGGTAGAAATATGGATGGCTTTTATGGGCGTGGTGGCACACACCTGTAACCCCAGCTACTCAGAAGGCTGAGGCAGGAGAATCGCCTGAACCCAGGAGGCGGAGGTTGCAGTGAGCCAAGATCATGCCACTGCACTCCAGCCTGAGCGACAGAGTGAGTGAGACTCCATCTCAAAAAAAAAAAAAAAAAAAAAGAAAGGGAGAAATATGGATGGCTTTTATACTTCTCCAGTTTTTCACAATGAGCAGATATTTCTTTTAAAACAGATATATATTCTAATGTTATTTTAAAAAATCAGATTCATAGTATTAGAACTGTATTTCTTTAACAATCACTATCACCTGTCTATCACCATGAAATATAACATTGTTATGGCATTCATAGTTTGGAAAAAGTCAGTAAAACTTATTGTTGATAGGCCTTTTAAACCTATTTGTAAGCTATCTTAAATATGCTTCATTGCCTAGTTTTAAAATTATCTCTTTCAAGATGCTTATTAATTTCAAAGGGAAAAATAGTAACTCTATATTGGAGAAGCCACCTTAACCAAGTGATGAAGGTTAACATCACCAATAATACAAAATAACACTGTGTACCCTCTGTATCATATATGAGAATGAATGAGAGAATATCTGTAGGGTATCCTGGCATCTTTCTCAATTTGAGTTTCCACAACTGTGAAGCAAAAGTTCAAGAAAGATCAGGTGACTAGCTGGTTTGTGGCCAGAGCTCATGAATTCTGATTCCTGACTAGGTGTTATGTTTACCACATCATTAATAGTGTATACTTTATACACGTACATATACCTTTGCAGTTAAATGCACTACAATAAGAAGGCCATAGCTATGAGTTTGTTTGAATTGGTGAGCGAAAGAGGGATGGCCTGGATGAGGAAGAATAGATAGGTGGGTGAGAAAGAGGATGCTCAGAAAGATGAGCAACAAAGTTATTAAAATAATTCTGGTTACTTACCTAAAGGCCTTTTCCTATTTAAGTTTATTTTTTTCCCTTTTCAGCTATTTTAAAATTATTCTAGATTCCATTCCCTCCTTATTAAATAACACCTGATTCTTTTGATATTCCTCTTTCTAGTAACCTTATAAGAGGCCTTTTAGTAAGAATCTCATTCCTTTCTTGAGAATCCTTTTTTTCCCGTTATATGGGAGAGAATTTATGTCTATATTAGAGACTATCTAGTAGTTGTTAACTCTCAAATTTTGATCGAAGTATGGCTCAGTGTTCAACTCAATAAAAATACTAAAGTATATATAAGATTTTCTACTTTTCAAAGTACTTTATAACAATTTTATTTCATTTAATCTGTATTTTATAAAGGAATAAAGTAAGCCTCCAAAAAAATTACCCTACTATGTAGTTTTAGAGCCAGATCTAAAAATATGTGTATTCCAAAGGAAAATTCAGTGTTTATTCTGCTATAGTAGGTTGTAATTGCTTATTGTTAAATCTATTGTAAATATACATGTATTTTTTAATTGTTATTAATAGAGAGAAGAAAAGGCAAGAAAAGAATTCTCAAAATAGTTCAGAAAAACTCATGTTTCAAAGTACTCACATTCTTCTGGATGAGGAAAAAATGGCAAAAGAAAGAAAAAGGAAATTGAAAGAATTATTAATCCAAACTTTCAAAGAAAATCAACAGGTGGGAATTGCAGTGTCTTTTTACTTAGCATTCTGTAGTATAAATGACAAAGAGCTCCATCAGAGATGGGATAAAGTAAAAACTAAGTCCAGTTGAACCTCATCACAAATACCAAAACTGCCCATGCCATTTGTTCTTTGTGCCCAGCTGACCTGGTATGCAGGGCAGAACACAGATCCCCTGTTCTGAGGCTATTCTTTATATACTCTGGTGGGATCCTGGGAAATTACTGGGGTGAGGTGGGTAAATTATGGACTTCTTCCTAAATTACCTCTTCAGAATGGCATTTAACTAGTATTAACCTTAAACTAAGGTAGCTCTCTGACAATTTTTGAAATCTTGGCTTCCACTTAAGGAAGCCATAAGGACCACTGTGTTCTGGATTATTCAGAAGATACAAGAACTGGTTACTTGCCTTTTAGTAGCTCTGATCCTAAGGCAATGATACATTTATACCTGTGCTTTTCTTTTTAATGGTCTACATTTTATTTTACCTTTTCTCCCTTCTTTCACTTAGTCTTTTTGTAAAAATAACTTGCTGATTTTTAATATAAAAGTGAATATCCTCTTCAGGTTACTTAAGCAGTTTTCTTCAATAAAGTGGGATTGATAAAAGTATGAATTTCGGGATTATGACATTTCAGGTAAAAGGACTTACCTGGCAGATTTGTAAATGAGAGGGTTAGATGAGAAAAGATAAATATGTATATTTTGCATATCCTACAACACCCACCCCAGGGCCTTTGGCATTGCTGAAATTCAGAGAAAGTTAATTGAATAAATACGTGAATGAATGGATTTAGCGAGAGAAAAGAGAATGTTGGCCGGGCGCGGTGGCTCAAGCCTGTAATCCCAGCACTTTGGGAGGCCGAGGCGGGTGGATCACGAGGTCAGGAGATCGAGACCATCCTGGCTAACATGGTGAAACCCCGTCTCTACTAAAAATACAAAAAACTAGCCGGGCGTGGTGGCGGGTGCCTGTAGTCCCAGCTACTCGGAGGCTGAGGCAGGAGAATGGTGTGAACCTGGGAGGCGGAGCTTGCAGTGAGCCGAGATCGCGCCACTGCACTCCAGTCTGGGTGACACAGCGCGAGACTCCATCTCAAAAAAAAAAAAAAAAAAAAAAAGAAGAATGTTATAAAGATACTGAGGGAGCTTGATAAATGTAGGGATAGACTTACAAAGGTCCTGGAAATCAGTGACAGGAGTTTGAATATGATATGGATAACAAAGATATAAAGGAAAAAGTAGTCAAAGTGATTTTTTAAAAACAGTAGACATATTTTATGGTGGCATTTTTAGCTGATAAGAGGTTGTAATTACTCAGTTATTAGCCAACAAAAATTTGGTCAGAGTTTTGGCTTCAGGAAAACAGGAGGAAATGTAGTAAGAAGAAATGTAAGACTTGGAGTTAACATTTTGAGAAAAGTTAAGAAAGACTTAGATTCTGCATTCTTCATGAGACAGATGGAATTAGTATTCCTCCTATATAATAACAGTTCGGATTTCAAAGAGAAAATAAGAAGAGAAACGAGTATTCAGGGAGTCATCTTGAGAAAGTGTAAGGAAAAAGTACCATGATACATTTCCCAACAAATTAGAGACAAATAAGATATGTTTTCTAAAAAATGTTTAAATTGTATTGAAGTCCACTGTACAATCATATATATTTTAGATGGAACTGCCAAATATGAATGTTAGACACATATGCCGAGTTTTACAAAATTAGTGGCCCATCTAAAACAGATTACTTAGTTTTAAAATATTTGACATGGAAAAGCTGCAAAAATAGTGCAGAGTTTCTGAATAACCTTTATTGGGAGAATCACCCCCAATATTTCAATGTAGGTTCTTTTCTGTTTCCCTAAGTGTCAGCCAGTCTGAGAAATAAAGGAAAGAGTACAAAAGAGAAAAATTTTAAAGCTAGGTGTCCGAGAGAGACATCACATGTTGGCAGGTTCCATGATGCCCCTCAAGCCGCAAAACCAGCAAGTTTTTGTTGGTGATTTTCAAAGGGGAGGGAGTGTACGAATAGGGTGTGGATCACAGAGATCACATGCTTCAAGGGTAACAAAATATCACAAGGAAAATGGAGGCAGAGTGAGATCACAGGACCAGGGTGAAATTGGAATTGCTAATGAAGTTTCGGGCATGCATTGTCATTAACATCTTATCAGGAGACAGAGTTTGAGAGCAGACAACCGGTCTGCCTAAAATTTACTAGACGGGAATTTCCTCGTCCTAATAGGCCTGGGAGCGCCGCAGGAGACCGGAGCTTATTTCATCCCTTATCTGCAACCGTATAAGACAGACATTACCAGAGCGGCCATTTTAGAGACTTCCCCCTAGGAACACATTCTCTTTCTCAGGGCTGTTCTTTGCTGAGAAAAAGAATTCAACGATATTTCTCCTATTCACTTTTGTAAGAAGAGAAATATGGCTCTGTTCTGCCTGGCTTTCAGGCAGTCAGACCTGATGGTTATCTCCCTTGTTCCCTGAACATCGCTGTTATCCTGTTCTTTTTTCAAGGTGCCCAGATTTCATATTGTTTAAACACACATGCTTTACGAACAATTTGTGCGGTTAACGCAGTCATCACAGGGTCATGAAGCGACATCCTCAGCTTACAAAGATGACGGGATTAAGAGATTAAAGTAAAGACGGGCATAGGAAATCACGAGTATTGATTGGGGAAGTGATAAATGTTCATGAAATCGTCACAATTTATGTTCAGAGATTGCAGTAAAAAGAGGTGTAAAAAATTATGAAAGTATTAATTTGGGGAACTAATAAATGTCCATGAAATCTTCACAATTTATGTTCCTCTGCCATGGCTTCAGCCGGTCCCTCCATTCAGGGTCCCTGACTTCCCGCAACAAACCTTCACCTGACTTTTCCCAATGTTAACATTTTTACATAAGCATAGTATAATTATCAAAACTAGGAAATTAGCATTGGTACGCTGCCATTAAATGCCATTAACTAAACGATAGACCCTATGAGAATATCACCAGTTTTTCCACTAATGTTCTTTCTCTGTTCCAGGACTCAATCCATAATTTCACACTGCATTTATTTATTACATCTCCTTAGCCTCCTCCAATCTGTGACATTTCTTTAGTCTTGTGTTTTATGATCTTGCCATTTTTGAAGAGAACTGGTTAGGTATTTTGTATAATTGTCTCTTGTTTTAGGTGTTTTTATGTTTTCTCCCCCTTGCTTAATGTGTATTTTTGGTAAGAATGCTATAAGATGTGATACTGTGCCCTTCTCCGTATATCCTAACAAGGAGGACATAATTACTGATGTTAATTTCGATCACTTGGTTAAGGGTGTGTGCTGGGTTTCTCCATTGTAGAGTTGCTATTTTTCCTTCTCCTTGTCTTTCAGGAGATACTGTGAAGCTATGAAAATATTTTGTTTCTCTGTAAACTGTCACTCACTAAGGTTAACATCCTTTGGTGGCTCTTGCCTGCAGCAATTATTAATGTTGTATTTGTCTAATGGTGATTTTGTGTGTCCGTCTTTTCTTCTATACTTCTTAACTGAAATTCTTCTAGAAGGAAGACGGTCCCTTCTCCTTCAGCTATGTGTATATGTATATATGTGTGTATTTATGTATTCATTCATTTATGTAATTATTTTATTCAGTATGAGCTCATTGATATTTATTTTATTCTATGAGTCATAATCTAATATTGTTGTTTACTTGGTTATTCAGATTGTTTCAATGTGTCTATTGGGAAACCTATGAGTTAGCTCCTTTGTTCTTTCAACATGCTTCCATCCTATTTTGGACACTTCCTTTTTTGTTGGCACCATAAGATACTTTAGGCTTATCTTGTGTTTTACCTGCCCTTACCCTGCAATCGACCACTTCTACATGGAACTTTGATTCATTTTATTGGAGAAACGGTTTTTGGAAACTAAGATCTGGGCACTAAGTGTGTTCACTGCTACTGGAGTGTCATTTTTTTCTAGGCCTTCTCAGCAGACAGAGCTAAAATATATATGGATATATACATAGATGTATGTATGTATGTATACTAACATACATATACACACACTTTATATTTTTCTGTGTCTATCTGTATACATATTAAAATCCATGAGTTCAGCAACACAAGGGTCATGTTATTCTTCTCCCTTTCCTTATTTGTAACTTACTCCTGTATCTATGAATCTACACATATATATATATACACATATATATAAATATATATAAAATAACTGTGAATTTATAATAATATTGTCAAGGATAATCCAGCACCACAGGTTTCAGTGTAGTCTTTCCATCTTGCTCACTTGTAACTTCTCTGACACTGAGAAACCTGGCTCTCATTATCTCTGTTATAGTTACTTATTAGGGTAATCCTAGTACACTATAAAAATAGTTTTAGAATTGCTAACCCATACCACAATGGGAATAAATTCACTAAAGCAAAATATTGTACAGTTATTTTTGGTTTTAGCTTTATAGTATTCAGAATATTGTTTTCCAGAGTTACTTACGGGAGATCTTTTCTTCGCCTCCCTTTTCAGTGTAATTATGTTGTTCATTTGTAATATGGTTAGTAGATCTCTAGATTTTCCCCAGCATATATGGGCATAACTTGGTAAAAATACATCTACCAGCCTCCTCGGGCTCTTACACAGACTTTGTTGTAGATAGGACTGTCCTCCAGTAAAGGCCACATAGGCAGGCCTTCTGGGCTCATTATCTTGGTGCCAATTAACATTTGGCTCTAAAGGAGCCTAAAGCTGCCCTTGAGTAATGAACCTTGGATACTCAGCAGCCTAGGTATGACCACAGGATGAAAACAGAAAAATGCCTAGCTGCCTTGCAGGGATTGGCGAGATAACGCGAAACTCTTGTCAGCACCCTCAGAATGTTTCACTGGTACAAACCCTGTGGAAACAGCTGTGTAGAGTATTTTCAGGAAGACGTTAAAGAATCTGTTTTTAGGAGTTGCTGTAGTTTAGGTTCCTTTAATTCCCGT